GTTCTTGCCCGTCCGGCTACTAGGACCGGGTACTAGACCTAGGTATCCGTTTCGCCGGGCTAGCCTTTACAGTAGGGAACTATATTTTTCTCAATGGCTAAAGCTTCAATTTTATATAATAATGTAGCTTTTGATTCACAATTATTTAAGTTTTTATATTTATTTTCAAGCTTATATAAAGCTTTATTAATAACTAGATCACTTGACAATAAAGATGAAGATAATTGTGATACTAAATCATGTTTTAGATACCAATGAGGATGTATAATTAAAAGTAGAATAGGTTCTATAAATAGAAGTATATGATGGCATAATAATTTGAAATTTAATCTCAAACTATATTTACAATTACTACTATCTTTATTATTGTTTTTAATCTTATATATCTTTTTTTTTATTTGGTCAATTGCCTATCTAAAGACTTTTTCAATTAGTTATTCAAATTTTTTGTTAGTAAGAATAAATGGGTTTGCAGAAATAATATTCGATTCTAAAGCCCCATTTGCTTGTAGTTGGTGTTGGCAGAATGCATGATCAATATGTGAGAAAACCTGTTCCAGACTACTTACTACCTTTATTGCTTTTTTTAATCTACCAAGACTTCCTTTAGCTTATTGTATTAATTAAATACCTATATGCAGATAATTTTTATATAAACATGTATTCAATACTTAGCATATTTTTTTCTATTCTTTTAAGTAATTTTAAATATAGTTTGGATCTTTACTTTTAGCTACTGCTTGTTTTATCTCATTAAATGCTTCTTTAACTTTATTTATCTTCTCAGAATAAGCAACTTTCTGAACTAATAATAACAATTTATTATAGTCTTTATTAGAATTAAAAAGCTTTCTACATATAGTTCATAAATTTTGTGTGAGCATATGCCAGATACAAACCATCTTTTTTGCTACTGAAAAAATATTATTTGCTGCTTTTCGTAAGACTTGATTGCTGTTAGAGATAAATACTTCAGGAGAACAAGCAAAGGTATTATAAATTGTCTCTTTTAATATATTTAAAAACCAATTATATGTATGTTCCTGCTCATTTGCAACCCAAGCTATTATGATTTGGAATGTATTAAGAGCTTTGGCATTTCTGATATTACTAACACCAACAGTATTAATAAGAGGAAGCTTATATAAGTTCATTTTATAGGTAGCATTTACTATTAGTACCTCTAGACATATAGCTACTTGATGTGCTACTTCAATATGTGTAAAAAATAAGTTTTGTATAGTCTATCTTTTGATAATAAATGCTAAACTATATACTAACATTCCTCTAATATATGCGAAAGCTTCATAGTAGTCTTATGGTTTGAACCTTCATTCAAGACATTTCTAATTCAATTATATTCATTTATAATATTCTTTGTATATACAGTTTCATTTTTCCAATGTACTGCATCAGCAATCGATCAAGTTAATGCCCTATTTCTAAGCATAATGTGAACTAGTTCTCTTTGTTCAAGATTAAGAATCTGATGCTAATAAAGACAATAAATTTGTAATAGAGAAATAAGCTTATAATTATGCTAATTTTTGTAAGAATGTACTACTCAAATACTATTTTCATTCAAAATAGCTTTTAAAGTAACAGAACAGTTTTGACATTTTGTGAATCTTTTTCTTTTTTAAGTCTTTTCAGTAATATTATAGTTATTTCTGTATTAACCACTCAATGTACATTGTAGGGTAACAAAAGAAGTACAGCCATTTTTTTTAGTATGCAGAACTTTTGATAATGATATACTAAAAGCAAAACCTACTGCTTTAGCACCTTCTTGAGCAGCTTCTTTAAAGCTCTTTATTATTAGAAATTTACTGCCTATTTCTGAAATTTGTGGTTTTGATTGTAATATAATTGCATAGATTCTAATAGTGTTAATTAGCTTTGCAATAAGAACAACATGGCATGTTATAGTTTATTACAAGTATAGAATAAAAATTAATTAATACAATTATAAATTTTATATACTTATTAAAAGATTATTAGCAAGAAAAATAACTTTTTGTATGCATATTTATTACATTTATTTTTTTCTATTAATTAAGTAAATTCAAATGTATAAACTTAGAATATTTCTTATAAAAATAGTAAATTATAAGAAACAAATCTTTTTTTTATCAAAGACTTAAATATATATAGTTTTACCTCACTTTCATTTATAGCACAACACTGAAACACAAGCTTTTTCTAGTTAAGCATTAAAATTTTTTATCTTTGCAATCATGTTATTGTTATATTATCTTTTTATCTGTTCATCTATTCTATGATAATTTCTATAAAATGTGATATTATGCATATTTCAGAATTAGTATTTCATTTATCATAATTTGATTTACAGTCTTTAAATGTGATTGTTTCTTGTTTAAGTTATGCTATAATTAATGTTCTAAATGAGATTTAATATATAAGTAATAAATAAGTACTGTCATAAAAAAATAAAAGTTTTGGCTTTCAATTATATAATATATCAAAAAAACTCTTATTAATAATATATAAGATAATATGCAAATAAGTACTATTATTATATATTACTGATAAGAGGTTTTTCAGTATATTATATAATTAAAAGCCTGAATCTTATTTCCTCTGCTAGTACTCATATTGAATTTAATTTAATAATCTGATATTATTAATTATCAAAATTAAATATATTAATAAACATTAAATATTGTAAAATCAATTAAAATGATATTTGATTTTATTAAAGAAAATAATTAATATTGTAAAATCTATTAAAACAATATTTAATTTATTGAAGAAAATAATTAATAATTTTAAATCTACTATAACATTCATGAATACAAAATTGTTATTAGTAATTAATAATGCTCACTATTTAACTTGATTACATGATTAATAGTTGTGGTTGTCACATGATTGCATTGTCTAATTAATCATGTGACTGTACTGTTCTAATGCACTATCTATAGACTTCCTGAACTACCCCAGCATACCTAGTAAAAAAGTGCGAACACATGACTGTTCAACAAAAATTAACTAATAAATTTGTTTATTATTACCATTATTGTAATGCTAAAATACCTTGCTTGTAAACACTCTTACACATTTTTAATCATAATAGATAAATAAAAAGATCATAATTAAAATACTTAACTATAGAAAGTTGCTATTTTTACCTCTTATTTTTGCTAATACTACCCTTTAAAATATACAAAAGTATTTTGAAAGAGATATTATTATTAAGTAAACCTTTTTTTGGTATTAATTAAAGCTGTTCATTAGACCTTTCTAGTTCTAATGATGGTAAAATTATTAAAATCAGACTGGTAGTTCTTTTTTAAAAGTAGATTAAAGATTATAAACTTTAAATATAAATATTGCAAGAACCACCAGTTCAAACTTAATGATTTTACTATTATTAGAACTGAAAAGATCTAATGAACAATTTTAATTAATATCAAAAAGGAGGTTTATTTAATAATAATATCTCTTCTGGAGCATCTTTATGTATTTTGAAGGTGGCATTAGCAAAAATAAGAGGTGGAAATAGCAATTCTCTGACTATATTATACTTCAATTGCAACAAAACTTTTCTAAACTTCTAAGTAAAATTAAAGATCAATAATATAATCTTTAAAGTTTGTCTAACAATCAATGTGCCAGATTTTTTTAACTTGTATAGATTTTTAGTTGATTTAATATTTTATAAATATATATATTTATATTAAAATGCTAATTTTTTATAGCTATATAATCTTTTTTTTTTATTAATATAATATCAAGTAGAAAAATAATAATAATAATATATGAATATACCAATTAGATATAATATATAACTAAAGAATTATTTCTAAACTATACTATTGTTTTATATATATCTAACTACATCTAGTATAATATTATTCTTTTATTTTTTATTATTAATTAAGTTAATTATTGTTAATATTTAAATACAGAAGATATAAAAAGCCTCTTAAGATTGTTGGTTTAATAAAAACAAGTATATATAGTAAAATTTTGAGAAAGAAGTTTAATAATAAAAAAATCTATATTAGTATTGAAGATAAAAGTAGTATTATTGGAGTTTGTTAGTTTTGAAATAAGTAAATAAATGTTGTTTTTCTTTTTGTTGAGGCAGTAATTTCTTGCACTGACTTCTACTTATATTGTTTAATATTTTATATTTGCTAGATAGTAGAGTTGAACCAAGTAAGCATTGAGTTTGATAATGTAATAAGAAAATTATTAGTTGATTTTTTTTAAAATAGGTTATAGTTGTTTGTAATAATTTAGAGTTAATGTACTTTGAATAAGTAATAGTAGTAAGTTATTTGTATTGTTACAAAGTAGATTTTTAGCATAGCATAGTATATTATATTATTAGTAGTTGTTATATATTTATTATTGT